AAGGCAAATACAAGCTGACAAGAATGTTAACAGTCTGTTCTCTACTGACATATCTGGGGTACACTTTCAGTGTACTCACGCTCTGATTTCTATTCACTTGTGACTTGAAACTTTTTTCTGTACAACAGAAGGAATTTCCTGAAAACTAGGTGTTTTTTCCCTCAGGAATCATCACCATGTGGTGATCTCGTATCTTTGGAATCCCAGGCAATGGCACTGATAAAGCAGCTCTGGATCTACAAATTGCAGACGGATTGAAACCCAAGGCTAATATGTGCCAGTGATAGTAAAACCTTGCTCACATATTCCTTATGGCTGCATTTAACTCTATGAATATTGCAGGAAGTTGTTTCTGCTGTTGTAGTGAGTGTCCAGAGGTAGCATTTTGAACAAGAACATTGGGCAAACACCAGCCCATGGGAAATGGGCTGTGTAATGGTCCTTCTCAGCATAGGGAAGGCATGTTCTTGGTTTAATGTTTCATTCATATATAAAAACTATTCATAAAATATATGCCTACTCCATTTACCTTAGAAACCTGCAGAAATCAGCGGATCTTTTTCAAATTTGAGCCTGTTGCAAATTTGATGGCCATCAGCTACTTGATTTCCTTTTGTATCCCAACATCTAAAATTAGTTCATGAACACTGGACTCCTATTGAGAATGGAAGTTCTGACAGTGATTTTGCATGCTAATCAACACTATAATTTGTTTTATGACCTCAAACAGGATTCAGGATAGTATTCACATAAGATTTGCAAAGATGCTTTCCATTACAGCAGAAATAACCACCAAACTCCTTAATCCAAGGAAGACAGCTTCTCAGAACATTCCACAGTGCAGGAGTGGATCTCTCCTTCTTGTCTGAAACAGTTTCTGTACAATCTTGCTCACATCCTATGCACAAGGTTTTGAGACCAAGAGGATTTTCTGAACAAGCAGGAAAGCTGCAATGACAATGCCAGGGCTAATCCTGCTTTTGGCCTGGAGACCAAACCATCAGAGGCCAACACAGGGGAGGGGGAGAGGGTGGTGTGTCACCTCCCTGCATCCCTTGATGCTGGGAGCCCCGTTCCAGGTTGCTTGGTGGAGCACAGGCAATTTGGCTAGCTGTCAGCATGACGAGATATATGAGAGCAACAGGCTGCTTTTCTGCTCCCTCCACAGTGAAGGAGAACAAAATTCACTGCAGTCACCAAGAGAGCAAATGAAAGCTCCATTTTTCTTCTTCTGTAGGGATGTTTCCCTTTTGAACCTTACAACAACATCAGAAGGCATACAGGCACCAGTTCCCACTTGTATCAGTGCCACTGGTCACAGTCAGCCAATTCACACTGAACTGGCAATGTAACATGATTTAATGTATCCACAGGTAACTGAGAATCAGGGCATAAATTCATTTATAAGCAAACTGTGCAAAGCTTCCTTTTTTATTATTATTTTTTTAAATTTCATTTTAAAAATAAAAAAAAAAAGCCCCACAAACCTTCTTTTAAAAAGAGACATGTTCGTGCTATGGATTTAGTTTAAAAATGGCTATGTTATTACAGTACATTTTATTTATATCACTTTTCTAGTTTTATAGTTTTGTCAAGGTTTCTGTCACTGGGAAATAGAGTTAAATTTAAGATATGGTGAGTAAGAGCTTAAACATTGATCAGTCAAATGGTGCCTGTTACATTTTTCAGGAAAAAATAATTAAAAATATATAAATAATACAAAAAATCTCCAGAAAATGTTAAAATAATGTATTTTATGACAAAAATTAGTAAGAGACATATTGTGGCAGAAATTATACTATGGAGCTCAAGCACTTAGCAACATTAAAAGTTAAAGGAACAGATAGAATTGCATGAGACAAGACAACAGTTTCTTCCTTCAGGACCTGTCCAAAAGATAGAAAGCCTTTGTTTTGCCCAATTACTCACTGCAGGCATTTTACACTATACTTTAAAAAATATCATCAAAATAGGATATAAAAGGACTGTTGTGATTTGATACATCAGCTCCCTTATCCTTATCATTAGAATCTTTGCCCAACAGAAATTTCATTTGGGTTCACCGTTTACCTCTTTGACATCAATAATTTTTATTTTAAGAAAACAATTTGTTCAAGAAACAGCTTGCTTGAGTTATCATGGAAATGTACAGAGTTCTGCTCAACAGAAGTTTATTTTTAGTTCTGAAAAACCACTTCAGTGGTTCAGTCCCAGAACTAGTTCACAGCAAAGTTATTTTTACTTTCACCTCTGCATTGGTATATCTTCCCAGAGATTAGCTGCGATAGTGTTGTGCTAATGTCAAGCTTTTACAGAAGGAAAAAGAAGCAAACCAGAAATTTAAGATATAAGTAACCAATTCTTATGAGGCACTTAATTACATACTTTGGACTAGAAATATATCTTCTTCACAGTAAATATACAGGAAATAGCATCCTTCTAACTGTATAATTGCTTTAAATTTAGGGTTTAATATCAGAGCTTATAGTAAAAAAATTCCAGCTTATATTTGTGACATTAAAGACAAACAAAATAATGCTGTTTATCTTTAATGAAACTTCATTTGTGTTGTATTGGAAAATTATCTTATATAGATTAACTGCTAGCCATTATTGGCGGTCTGTGGAGTTTCCATTTAACCTGAGACTGACCTGGTTCCTTTCTAATTGCATTGCCCTTAATGAGACGCACGCATGGAGGTGATGTGCACAGGTAGCTGGGTTCTGAGTAATTTTAAATTTCTGGTTTCCTTCCACTACAGGGCCACATACACAGAACAATGAGTGAATGCATCAAAGGCTAAAAAAGAGATGAGCTCTTGCAGTCTCTAGGGCAGTTCAAAAACTGTAGTTAAGAGCACACAACAACAACCTAACTTTGAATTTGGAAACATCACTTTCCTAAGTGTAAACTAGGTACGAAGGATAACACAGAGAGAGAGAGGATTTATGCTACAGCAGGGAATATGTGGGCCAATGACTCCCAATCTCTCCCAAATCCTGGTTGTACCCAACCCCTGAGTACCAACTGTAGATACCGTGCATATAGCATTAATGCTTCTCTGTTAAATCAAGCAGATATTCTGCTGTGATCTAATGAATTCACTTTCCATAACTAAAATTATTAAAAAGTCTTTGCTAATGGTATCTGACATAAATAAGAGCACTGAAAGGCATTTTCTGCAGGAGAACCCTCATCAATATTTGCCTGTATTCTGCTGGCTCCCTGTGGTGTTAGCAGTACTAACAAAATAGAACCTTAATTTTGGAGGTTGGTCAGCTGTAGCAAATAAATGTCAAAAGAAATGAAATGAGTTTACCCAAAACACATAAGACTACCTTTTGAAAAAGCTAGGGAAACATAGAGATCAGAAACTTCTTGCCTCAAACGTATATCTAGAATCATCGAGTTCTTACTCATGTTTTAATACCAGAATAGTAGCAATATATTCTTCAGATTTTCCTCACAGCAGGGAGAGTTCAGTCATTTGAGGCAGTTAAGGAAAATCACAGATTACAGCAGCACTCCAAGCACTACTGCTGAACAAGATCGCAGATTGCAATATTGCTTCTTTCCTTGCTTCTTGCAGCACTGCACATAAATAGTCTGTAGAATAAATGTTTCGCTTCAGAGTGGAATTTTCTCCATTCATCATCTGATTATTTTATAATTTTATTAATTATAGCTCATCTCAATTCAGTGCCTCATTAGAAGAACAGACAATTTGGTGTTATTGGCAAATGGTTGTGTGACACATATGGATAATCAATTACAGTAATATCCCATGAAATGACAGTGAAGCTAAATGGATTGAAAACACCACCCTACATGGGCTTCCTCTGCTTTCCTTTTGAATGTCAACCATGAAAGACAACTCAGCAGTAAGCAATCTGTGAGTCAGACACGTGTGGCACTCACTTTCAACTTCCTGTGTAAGAAACAGTCCCCAGGTGATTCTATCTACACTGCTGTTGGATTACATCCCATAAATGACAGACTGTAGCGCCTAACAGGAACTTCCCACCTCAAGGATTTAGCTAACAAACCCCAGAAACATATCCATATTATTCTGTATCCTTTTTATTAATTTATTTCCTAGTAATTAACAACATATTGATTAATTACTATACATACATTAGCAATCTAATAAAATATTAGATACAAAATAATCATCCTTTTTCTTTAAAAAAGAGTACATTGTTGTACATTAAATGTAATAACACTTGTTCTGAATTTGCAATTGAAGGAGCTACTCCAGTATGTGATTTATTATCCCATGGCCCACATAACTCACTCTGTGTCATGGCAGGGGATGATTTATTTTATAGGAAACTGAAAAAAATTAATGGTATGATATGGATGTACTTTGCAAATACTTGCCAAACTAAACAAAAGTAACAATAGAAGGGGAAAATACTGGTAACATTTTAAATTCTGACATGCTGTTTTCATGAAGGTTTATTCCTAAGAATGCAATTTTATTAAATATAGATATTTATGCTTATGTAAATTAAATTACAAATTAATAACTGTTTCATTTTAAATGCTACAAATTCTTCCTTTGTTACTCTGCAGACTCTTCTGTGGAATTTGGATGCAAGCAAGGAACTGTGAGGTCATTTTTAAACATCTTCTTTAGCTATGAGAAAGAAGCAAAATTAAAGGAAAGAATGTGTACATGCACGCGGGTTTGATTCTCCTCTGACAGTCGATCAGAAAAAATTACAGTGTAAAGCCTATATAAATGAGGGGGAACATCAGGCACTTGAAATCAGAGCCACACTACTTTCAGAAATGTTAAGACTGTGAGAAGCCAAATGCAGCTATCACTACTGTATGTCACTGAATTTATGATTAATAATGACTATTTAATACTATTTGTGTGCATTAAAGTAGTGCCTTAAGGCACTGTACAACATACAGAAACAGATGATTTTTTGCCCCAGCAACATCCAATCTAAACAAAAGATACTTGCAGCAACAGAAAGCCACCTTGTTGTCTTCTGTCACTTGGTGAAGAGGAACATAAAAGAATAGAGGAAATAATCTGCCAAACTTGCACTGGAGATCTTGCCTCTACTTACTGGGCACTGTGTTTAGCTACAGACCATCTCTTATCCACAGTGTTTGGACTTGGGCTGCACACAGAGCCATGTCTTCAGCCATGCCCTGTGTGCAGTCAGACAACAGCAGTTCTTGTACTGCTTGGTCAGAGAAGAAATAATTCCATCAACTAAATTCTTGCAGCATGAACTGGTGGAAAGACCATACATATTACAGGAGAGCACAATGGTCGTGTGCAGATATGACATCAGTATGGACAAGACTACCTGGTCTCTTCTATAAAGCTTTGTTTTTCTTTTCAGTTGAGAAGAGGTTCAATGTTATCCTGTCTTTTAAGACTGGAATCTCCTTTCAGACAAAATAATTTATTCCAATTGTCAAAGCTCATCAGACTCTCAGCATGAGGCTTGCATAAATGGGTTTATTCCTAGCTGTTTCATTTGCACACTCCACGAAATTTTTTTTCCTATTTAATTTCATCAAGACTTTTGTCACAGACACCAGCAAACTTTCTGCAAGAGCACTGTAATGTAAAACACAGTATCTCTTCCTTATGTTCCTGTGGATAAAAAAATAAAGCACAATATGCTGTAGTATGCTTAGAAATATTCCCATTTTAAACTGCTTTTCCTGAAATAGGAAGACTATAGAAGAATATGACAAATAAAGCAATAAAGCTATGCTTATGGGTAACAGATAATAAAGGGCTGCCAGCTTGGATATGCCCTTGCTGTTTAAAACCTCCCATGGTAAAATTCGTAACATTTAGTATTCTACAGTAGTGGTGTAAAATACTCCCATGAAATTGTAGTGTTTGGGAATATTACTATGGCATCATTGTTGTTATTTTTCTAAAGAAAGTGCCTCTCTGTTGCAAGAAAACTCATCAAGTGGTGAATGTGGTGAACACATTATTGCAAAGGCACAGGATTTGGGAAGCCTAGCTGTGTTCTCCTCTGGCTGGTTTGCCTTGAATACATGTACAGGGCAGGTGCTACGAGGAGAGAGGTTCTTGTCCTTGTCCAGGCTTCGGTAGGGCAGCCATCATGACTTCAGCAGATCCTCTAAAACCTTCTTGGCTTTAAGACTGCAGCAAGGCAAGAGCCTTGAGTCCAGAGAAAATATGTAAGGTCGATGCGATTTTCTCCAGACATTATGTGCATTTGTTTATTCTTTTAAGAAATTTATTTATTTAAGAAGTTTTCACCTCGGGGAAACAACCAACTAGAAAATATGAAGAATTACTAATAAAGACTAAAGTTTAATTCCACAAAGTAGATGATAGCTCATGGTGGATTCTGTATATCATTTGTATTTGCTTGAGAAAAGATTGCTTCTGTAACAGACTGGTCCTGAAGCACATCCAGAAGGATAATGGGAGCAAGGCTGCCTCAGAAGCTGACACAATCAGACAGATATTTTAAAAAGCCTACAAAGATTTTACACCCTCCAGTAGGCTGAGGCAAAACAGGATTTGTCAGAAGCAGGAGCAGGTAGCAAGACAGGCTTTGTCAAAAGCAGAAGCTGATGCTGGAGTGGTATTGGTCAAAAACATTAGTCTTTACAGTCAGCTCCTGTCAGTATTATGCCTTTGAAATAACCAGTACTTAAATTAATGTTTTCCAGTGAGCTAGCCTTTGGGAGTCAAAGAAACAAATAAATTAATCTGGAAGAACGAATCTGCCTGAGACACTGATAAATCTGTTATGACAATGTAAGGCTTATTAAACACGGAGAAACATTATTTCCCTAGCCTCTGGGTCAAATGCAAGTTTTAAGGTTAATAGAGGAAATCAACATTTTAAAATATGTCACATGGACTACTTTTTTTTTTGTATTCTGCTTTTGACAGGAAATTCATGATTCAATACACTTAACTCAAAAATATAATGCATGTAATGAGATGTTATCCAAATATCACAATACTCTGAGTTATAGGGACATAACTGAAATGGCATAGCACAGATAATGCTAAAATTTGAGAAACAAGGGGATCCCAGGTCTTCTCATATATTACTGTCCCTCTGTTCCTGAACACCAGCACTGGCTTGCCTTCGTGAACACTGTTAGGGTCACTCACATCTTTACTCTGACTGTAGGGAGATGAACAGTAGGAAGGCTGCAGTTTTTGCCAAGGAAATCACTCAAGCTTGATAAAAGAAGTGCTTTGCAGAACAGAAAAGCCACACAGTGCTGTTGATTGTCATGATGTATGCTACAGTGAAAGAAGGTGGAAGCACAGGGGCTGCCTACACACAGCTTTTCCTCTCAGCAGCAGTCTCAGTTTCAGCAGAGGTTTTTCTTGCAATTTATGGCGCTAGAGAAGGTTTCCTTTGAGTTGAAAGGTTTTTGCAGGGGCCAATGGTACAACTTGACCTGCTATACTCAGGAGGGTTTCTTGGCCCCAAAAACCTTGAGTTTGCTTCCTCAAGTGAAAAATAACTCCCACTGTGATTATTCTTAGAAAGAAACAGACCTAAACAGATATATATGAAAAACTCCACACAATCCACTGCCACATCCTCAAGAACTCATTAGGTGGAAAACAGTTATGCAATACCTTATCCTTTGAACTTCATATTCCCCACACTTCTTTGTTTCAAAGTACCACATGTGGCCTAAGCAACTGCCTGGTGGGATAGAAATACTCAGTAATCCACATTGTCTTACTGGTTTGTCTCCGTCACTGTAAATCATACCTTCATGCAGTCAGAGGAGAGACCACTAATTTTCTTGTACTAAAAGACATGTGCTTAATGCACCTGCTGTCTCTGTGTGACCGCTAATGGTGCCAGGCAGACTTTGTATATTTATCTCAATACTCCAAAGATGAGTTGACCAACAGACTTGAAGGTCCTTCAAACACATCCCCTCTTAGCTGGGAGTCAGTGTTTTCTGACTCCAGAATCTGATATGTTGAGAAACCCCATGCCGAAGAGTAATCAGGAGCGCCCCTCAAGATCAGGGTTCATATCCACAGGCATCTGGAAGCCAAAAAATACTTATACAGTCTTAGCCTTATTAGTCTCACTAGTTTCTTTAGTCTCATTATTCATTCAAAAGATTCTGACCTAATATCCTCTATTAGATTTAAGGACCTTAAACGGAATAGCTCGTAAAAGGTACAGTCATATTACCTAGACTCAGGAGGTGACCTCCTTCATGCTCAGGGGGGTGAATCCAACTCACTCATTCACATG